ATCCGGTGTTTCCTTTGACGGGTGCTGAATCTCTGAGTGTTTTTTTTGCCAGTCCAACCTCCACATTATCTTGACATGTCGCCAGAAGACAGGCGGAATCAGTGGTGTAGCAAATGCTGCCCTGGCTTGGACAGAGCCTGAGTTCAGCACCCTGACAATGCTCAGAGTATGCAGAGTATTCTTCGATAGTTGCTGCATTGGCCATTCACCTTCGATGGATTCCGACCATGAATGTTTGCTTATTTTGCTTATATGAGGTGTCAGAGTTTGCTGTCTCCAGCGGGACAGTTTTCCAGCTGTGCAGCATGAAGTTTGATATGAGAGAAAACAGACGTGGGTCTACGTGTTTTTGTCATTGAGCAAATGCCTCAACCTGAGAGTTCATGTCGTAGGACTGGCTCATAGTTTGTCTCTGGTCTGTTTTCTTGCACGATTCTCAGGTCACAGTGACTGAGCAGAAGCTTGTAGTATTGTTTGTGGCCCGCCTGAGCTGTTTGAAGGCACAAGTGATTCTCATCAACGTCTTTTTGGTTCAATACCTTAGTGGAAACCTGAGCCAATCTGAAACCAGATGCAGCAAGTGTCTCCTCTGCACTTTCATTCACTTTCACATGCGGCACAATCTTTCACATACATGTGGTGATCAAGGCTCGACGGTCCTTTTGACCATGACGATAGATGTGCCCTTGTCCGAAGCCCCAGACCCGCGAAAGCTTCCAGCTTTCAAGATGCGTATGGTGAATCCTGGTGCCTTGCCAAGATTGTACCGACCACTGAGGTTGCTTCACCTTGCATGGTTTTGGAGAGTGGACAGTTCCTATCGCGCAGCACCAACACAGCCACTTGCCAAGAGTTGCATTGGTCTTGATGGGTGAGAGGCCATGGCCATTGCAGTAGCATCAAATGTCCTGGCTGGTGGGAAATCACGCTGGATTTGAGGTGGTTTTGTTACTCTTGGGTGCATGCAGCGAAGGCGAAATGGGGCTTTGTGCATCTTTTGCTTTGAATCTTTAGGTCTCAGTCAGTGTGGCCAAAACATGCCAAAAAAGTGTCATGATTGCTCCCTGCAATCTTTGCTTTCAGAATGTGGTTTTTCAAAGTCTAGACTGCCCATGCGCTGATTTTGCTTCTCATTGGTATTAGATAGTATTATACAGATGGTCTTAGATGGTATTAGAATGTGCAGGTTGTCGTGCTTTTTTGCCGCGTGATGCCACGTTTGACGAGCTCCACTCCAGCAGTCACGGAGGCACACTGGTCCTGAGATGAAATTGACATACTGTTGGACACTGGAGTCATGGGGTCATTGGTCTTGTGTGGAATCTTCCTGATCCAATGGACCACAACCTTAGTCTTGAGCTGACGCACCAGCAGTCATGAACAATGATGTAGTCTTTGGCGACAGGCATCCATGAGCCAACACTGTGTAAACAGGACAACCAAGTCTTGTTTTGCATTTCAGTCCTGGTTTGATTGGAGGATGTGCTCCGTGGCAGTGACTTCAGCATCAATGCCTCCTATTTCCAGGACTTGTTTAGTCTCAGACTGAGACCCAACGGCCCAACGGAGTTTTTGCTGGTGAGCGTTGAGTTCTATTTGGCTGGCCATGCTGATAGGATTCTTCCCTTCTGGCTAAGGTCCAACCATGCTTGCAAACCTCTTGCTGATCACGCCAGTGTTCTATGCTTTGCTGATGTTTCGCACGAGTAAGGCCAGACCTTCAACTGCTTTCTGATTCTGTGACAGATGTTCTTCAGCTCGCTATTCACCCTCTACTTCGGCATTTCTAGTTGCAATGACGACGGATGCTGAGCATGTATTTAGCTGAGGCAATTTTCGGTTCGTTGTCCAAACGTGTCACTGTGGACCTCATTATGCACTATGAAACTCGGAGTGATGTTGAGTCAAGACTGATATTTTACAGACAGTTTCGGAACAATCTGTGCAAAATTCTCTATGTATTGTTTGAACTATGAACGCAGTTCAGTTGTGAACAGCAAGCATTGCTTGGATATCGCTTGATAGTATTTGGTAATTAGTAGCCTGCAGAGAACGGGTCTCTGAGGGGCGAAAGTTCGCAGAGTCGATTGCATGCCAATGGCGAGCTTGCGTTTTCTGTCGCGTGATATCAAGATTGTCTCAAGTTGCGTTTGTGGTTCGATGACTCCTGACCAAAAATAGACTGAGGATATGTTGTGGCATGTGGTTATTGATATGGTCGACCAGGCTGCAAAGGGTTGTGCAGCATCCAGAAACATGAAAAATTGGGCTCCCCTTGTCGTTTCAGTGCTGTCACAGTTAACCTGTTGTTGAAGAGCAGTGCAGCAGTGCAGCACATTTGCTGCAAAGCACGTCAATGACACACCTTGCAGAGCCACGCGACTTCGGCGTACTCATGTGACTTCAGCAATCTATGCAAACACTGGTGACATAACATTTGGATGAAGCTTTCAAAACCCGTCTCCACCGCGCTTTACAGGTGGACATGTTTTACTATGCGCGTCTAGCAGAATGGGCGGCCACCTCAGGCAACGTGAACGAAAATCACAAACAACCACTCCGTGCATAGAAACGCACAGAACCATTTCGTACATTATATATTTTCATATCATGTCTATCGATTTCGCACTTAAATATCTTCAATGCATTAGCAAGTTCAGGTTTTGAGTTTGGACGAATCCTTAGGCTTTTGTTTCTCCAATGCGTACTGTGTTGTATGACCTCGCTTGTCTTGCCCCATTTTTTTACAGATCACACAGGATCTTCCGGTGTGCACTGGTGCTCGGTCAGTGGTGCGGATGTACTTCCGCCGGTTGGGTTTCTTCCATCATTCATCAACTGAGTGAATGTACCGGAAGCCAAAGCAGGACAGATATAAAAACAATTTAAAAACTACGGTAACCGGAGGGGTGAGAAGCACAAAGAAGCAGCGGACAGAACTTCGATGACCACGGAACAACAGTACCCCAGGGCTTGCGGAGCCTCTAGATAAGAAACACGCGAGAATCCAAGATTTTAATATCGTGTATTTTTTGTTAATTTTGACTTGCATTTCTTTGGGGTTACTAAGTAGCAAAGTTCTATGTCCGGCAGCATTGGAGTTGGCTGAACTGAAGGTTGGAAGCGAAGCCCTCGAGCAACACAAGAATTCCCTGGTGCTGATCCAAACGGCACATTGGCAGATAAGATCCTGCTGTTTTCCCTATGAATTCAGTGGAGGATCAAGGTACTTGGGTGCTAGATTGCAACCTTAGCGAGACACAGACAGCAAAATTGTACAAATCAGAGGGTATTGTCATTTTTCAGCCCAGAAAGAGTATTCTTGCCGGCTCGGTTTCCTTGCAGTACCACGCCAAGGCAGTACCGTTTCTACTGTTCTTCTCTATGGTTCTGCAGGTGGTGATCTCAGTTACTCATTCTTTCCAAGGCCTGCCAGAACTTGAAAAGAACAGAGTCATTGCAGGGAGCTGTTTGTTTTAGCATGACCCAATGGTGCATCTCAGTGAACTGAAGGCCCAAGCATTTCCAGGGGTCCGGGCCACATTTTGAGCGTGTACTTGGCACTGCACAGCATCCAATTGGTCACTGGAACTTGAAGCAGCTTGAACAATTTGAAAGGTTGTGACCGACAAGTGGTCAATCCCCGTCGGAGTCCAAGCGTCAGGAAAACCAATGCAAAGAGCATCAAGAGCATCAAGAGCATTTGGGTTGTGCACTTGAGGATCCCCCACTATCCCCCACTTGTGGATTCCTTGTAGCATTCCGTGTTGGAATTTCCTTTCAGGTTGAGACTCCTGTCCAACTCCCAGCTTGCTTGAATTTGGGAAATACTTCTTGAGTTCACATGGGGCCATATTGGTGTGGCCGAATCTGGTGCACTTGCTAAAGTTATGAATTGTCTTTGCATTATTGAATTGTCATTAAATTGTCTTCACGTGGCTCACTCGATGTGGTGTCATGGATTTTGAAATAGGGGCATAACTTGATCTTGTTGCCACACGGACGGAATACATATATATATATAATTATATATACATATCACAGTCGGACAAGAGGAATTCGGACCCAATCGCACGCCAGCCCCTGTGTTTGTCAAAAATACAAACATGCTTGTTGTCAAGAAGTGATACCAAGCAGAGGCTTCTGGGCTTCTTTCCTGCAAAAGATTGGTCGCTGTCCAGGAATTTTGGTTTCTGTATGAACATAAAGGACACATAGTAGCCTGAGAGATATACATACTCCTATACTATACCATCATATATCTCTGTACATCTACACATCATCATGCGCAATCATTCTAGAGATCACCACATAGAACTGTGCCGATTTCGCAACTTGCTTGTTCCGCCACAGCGCAGATGCGCTGAGGCTTCGGCTTCCGGAAGGGACAGCCTTCGCAGGCTGATGATTTAGAATAGATTCCAGCTATTTCTTTTGACTTGGAATAAACAACACGGAAGAGAGGAGAATCCAAGATTGGGCGTTGAGTCAGGCAATCTTTGGAGATAAACAAGAATACAAAAAGAAAACTACGTACATTTACAGTTACAGAAATTTACAGTCTTGCTTCCTGCTGGTGATGTTGCGAAAGGAGATCTGTTTGATTTTCTGGATCTGGTTCATTCGGCTTTGTTCGAAAGCTGATATGATCGTGCATTCAATCATTCGGCCACTGAATTTGGGGCGTTCTTGATTATGGATGCCAAAGAAGCCTGCTAAACCTGTTGCAGACTGCCATCCAATGGCGTACTGTATGTCAACTATTGAGTGGTTGAGCCACAGAGTCCTGGTGCCAGACCAAGGCACATGAAATTGAAATAGCTTTCATGTCACGCTTTGGCTGGGCAAGGCCTTCTGATATGCTTCCCCGCTTGCAAGGGCACCCAGTTAGAAGCAGCAGAAGCGCACTCTGAAAATCTCTGAAAGGTATTGAAAGGTCAGAAGATTTCAAAAGCTAACGTGGCTTGACTTCGGTACGATGCAAAGATTGTAGCCGCTATAGCCGCTATAGCCATTCCATATTCATCCAAGGTCAGTCCTGTCGCAGGGGTCCGCCACGGCCTGAGATACGCCCTTCAGTGCGCCTGAACTTGATCGATTTCAGGTCAATTCATGAAGATCTTTTTTCATATCATATATTATGTATATATATATATGTATATACTGTATATGTATTGCAAGTCATTCTGTGAAATGTCGAAATGTCAGAAACGGTCGCAACATGTCCCACAGCCACGCCCTTTGAGCTCCAGGCGGAACAGCTTGAGCCAACTCATCGGAGCAGTCAAGCTAGTCAGGTGCGTGATTATGTGATGTTATGTTGTCCCCATCAAATGGTACTGGTTTGTGGTGAAGATACTATCAAAGTCTTCCCCCAAGTGACATGAGATACTGCGTGGAACATCATAGTCGGTTCGCCACATCCTGGACGAAGCATTCTTTGATTTGTCCACACATCATGCCCCTTTTGGATCCTTTTGGGTTCAACATTTGGCTCCATCGTATGTTCGCTTGCACCTAGAGTCGTAGAGCTTAGTCGCTTTGTTCAGACACAGGATTTGATAGTTCCAACGGGTGACTGTGAGTCCCTGTGGTTCACAGGAAACCAAACGACTCGAATGACTTTTTCATCTAGTCTTCCGTGGTGCAAAATTCACTGTGCAGGAAGCGCTGAGCAGGAGACCATCTCAGGAAATTTCCTTTAGCGACAGGCAGTCGTGCCCGTCGTGCCCGTCGTGCCCGTCGTGCCTGTCGTGCCCAATTGACCAAGTCTTTAGAGAGGGACCAATGTGCCTGGAGCTTGTGCAGAAACCCTCCTGCCAGGGTTTCCACTGGTGGCGTTGTGCATCGTAAAACAACTAGCGGTGTGGAGCTTAAGGTTTGAAGTTTATTTTCAGGTTCGTATGTACTTTGAAAGACTCTGGAAGCAACTATCGCACACGCGCACGCACGCAGACAAACAATGACACAAACACAGGCTTTTCTTCATCTACAGCTGCACTTCCACAGCATCCAAGGACCAGGGACGGAGCGTGCCTGGTTTGAGCGACAAGAAAGGCTCCAAATGCTGCCATTGTGTGTTCAAACATCAGGATCGATTCTCCATCTTGCTGTGATGCTGGGGTCATGCAATTGTCTAGATTTTAAATTGCAGAGCTGCGCACATAAGCGTCGCTACAAGGGTTGTGTCTGTGCAAAACATGTCTTTTTCCGCATAATTACCAGTTTTACAATCTCCCCAAACCATCATAAGTAAATACCATGGTTCTTACATTTTTGCCCCCCAAATCAATCCAAATCATCCTTTACTCTCGCAAACACAGATGCTTTTGGCTACCCACAAGCCAAGATATACGACGGACATGTTTTGTCACTTGGCTAAAAAGCCACGATATTTATAGTGTAGTGTTTCTAGCAAGCCATTTGCCAAAAACGTTCTCATCTATGCAGTTTTGAGCATGTTGCAACCGTTCTAGTTTTCACACGCAAGCAAAAACACCGCAAATGCAAGAATGGTCCAAAAAGGCAGCAACATGGGCCTTTCTCACTCCCACGCTATCGCAGAGTTTTGATGTTTTTTTAGGGGATGGGAGGGGCAGTTGCCAGACCACACGTAGCAAGTGAAAAACACTCGTACTTGGTCATTGATTCATTGATTGTTCCTTTTCTGGTGCAGGGCTCGTCGACGCAGATTACAGGCAGACATGTTCTCATGTGCGAGCCGGTGTGAGCCGATGTGAGCCGATGTGCAACTTCATCATCGGACTCCAAGTGTCCACAAAGTGCTTTCCAGTCCTTTTGCTTCCAGGGCGTGATGAACCTCATTCAGCGGCACAACATCATCATTGCGAGGAAGAGGTGAGAGCGTCCAGGGTGTGTTGCATTCACATGGTCCTGCTGGCTGTTTGGTTCTGAATACTTATCACGAACAAAGAAGACTGGATTGTTTTTGGACATGTTCAATTTCGTTACTTTTTTTCAGGACCAATTTTTGTTGCTTTTGATCATGCCAGGTCTGCCATTGCTTCCATTTTTCTTATCGACATCCCATTTTTGACTATTCGGGTCGTGGACTGAGCTGCACATCGCTCAAAAATTTGAAATGTTGCCTTTTTTTTGCTGTTTCTGCCAACACCCATTCATGACAGTTCCCCATTCATGAATGATGGACAGGTGCACAAAGGAAACAAACTCGAACGGCAAAAGAAGCTGATTCGAAACAGATCTCAAGCCAAGCGGCACTATCACTAGCCTCACTAGCCTCACTGGTTCCTCGCTGGCGCCTCACTGGCCTCCCCAGACTCTTGGTTGCGAACTCTTGTGTTTCCATCATTTTCCACCAGGCTATATCCAGTCACTGAGATTTTTTGAACACCTGCCATCAAAATGAGTCCAACCAAAACATCCAACTCACAGTCTATTCAAGTCTATTTCCTCGATTTCCTCGCAAGTATTTTTTGTCTTGGGTCTCCTGATGGCGTCCGATGCCACATGGACCCGTGACATCCGCCGAAAAGCTGCTGGTTTTGCCTTCGCCGTTGTGCCTAAACCAAACGCAAGCTTCCCAAGACCAACCTGCCCCATCTTGCAGACATGCTACCTTCATCTAACTTCACCTCTCTATGTAAAACATGTAAAAAAATGTAAAAAAATATGTAAACTGGGGCTTGCAGCTGCCTCAGCTGCCTTGCATTTGAGGTTTGGCTTTGGGCTCTGTGACCTACTCAGCTGGTCTTGACATGATTTGCAATGGTTAAAGGAAGTTAAAGGTGTCAGGCTGGTGTAGTTTAATGTTTTGGCATGATTCACATCAGTCAATCTTGAGATTGAATTTCGTGACCAAGGCTCCAGCATACATACTTTCCTGGACTTGGGATCAAGAATGGGCTTTGCATTGTGGCTCAGCCTTGTTTGAACAGCCTAGCATTCTCAGCAAAAGCAGTGCTCATGTCAGGTTTTGAATGTTATGCAGTATACACTGGTAGCGCTCGCGAGTCCTTCCCTCGAATTCAGTTGAGCTAGATCAGTGTCACTTTGTTAAAGTCGAGCACTCTGCAAGATTCTCCTCATGCAGAGTGCATTTTGCCTATTTGTTTCACTATTCAGCCTATTCATATGCTGGGCATTCGACAACAGTTGTAGTTTCAGGCAAAGAATCCTTCAAGAGGATCAAACGCGAGATTGCGGAATACATCACGAGGCTCGTTTTTCTCCATGGGCTCTGCACTCCGTTACTCTCCGTAATGAACGCAGTGGCGGTCAGAGAAAAAAAATATATATATATATACACATACATTTCTTGAAGAAGGACCGTCCGCCCAAGCGCTTGACTTCGAGAGGGGGTTCCAGATCAGCCGTTTGTCAGCCCCATCTTCTCACAAGAAGAACCTCAGTGATACTCAGGGATCTGTATGAACATCAGAAATTCCATGTTAAGAGATGTCTCAGCCAATATCAGCCACTGGTTAAGATCCGCGAGAGCCTCCTCGCGTTCTGGCCTAGATTTTCAAACAGGCTCAGTTTGCAAAAAAATATATATATATACTATATATATATATATTTATAACTAGATTTGTTCATGTATGATATGTGAATGCAAAGATCATCTGGGCCATGGTTTGTCATGTGTGTATATGTATATATAAAATTATATATACATATATATATAATGCGTGTATATGAAATTTCATTGAAATGCTACCCGGTAGCATTTCAAGTCCTTCGTAGGTTTCATAGTGGTACATTGAAGGAAGAGGCCTGCTGTGAACTTATAGCCAGCTGACAGCGAGCTCATGTCATAGATAGAGAACTTCACACCAAAATCCAATGCAGATGCACAGATGTCTCAGATGCGCAGATGTCTCGGATGCAGGCTGAAGGAGAGTCTTACGGAGAACGATCCGGCCAGGAGGAAGGTGCGAGTCAGTCAGTCTTGGCTTGGATGGTATGCATACACAGAACTTCATATCATTCGCTGTCTAATCTCTTGAGTTGCTGGCATTTGTTGACCCTATTTTCTTAGGTGAAGGTGGGCCCCCCATGGTGCAAGCCTCATACACTGAAAACGCGGTGAAAAGCTTTGGTCATTCGTCGTCACCCTTCTCGACTTTTCAGGATCAAAGTGTTTCAGAGCTCATGCACCAGGATGCCAACGCGAGTACTTTTCAGCCAAGTGTCACATACAAGCGGAGTCATTCAGACCCACCAGATGTTTGCAGGATTCGGTGCCATCACTCTCTGCATCCAAGGAGCAGGCGTGACAAGGGTTTCAATGCCAACAGAGTGCGGACTTTGACAATCTTCACAGGTTACCTTTCGTCTTATTTGGGCAGGCTCATCAGATGAAGCAGGCACTTCACAAAGTAGGCCTGAACAACAGGGGGTTGCCCATGCAAGTTTGCAAATCTTCTCAAAGTGGACCGACATCATCAGTCCTGCCATTGGCGGAGAAAGGTCGGGACACTGCAAGGGGTGTTGGAATTTGTGTGGGACCTAAGGATTGATGGCCGGGTTGTTGGGTGTGTCCACATGATTTAATGATTTGGACTCTGCAATTTTGTCACTGGGACTAGCATTTTGTCAGTGTGTGTCCCAAGGTGTATATATTTTTGCATTGACACTAGCTTTTGCAGCCGGCTTCATCATTGCTCAAGGCCACAAGCTGTGCTGGATATGCCGGCTATGCTGCAGTGCACACATGTCACATACTGCACAGTCACGTGTTTTTAACATGTTTGGTGCGACTGCGCGGCACTGCGTGGTGCAGGTGAGACTGTGGTGGAGCTATTTATCGCATGGGTTCAGGAGCTTGATGGCCGTTGATGAATGTTGATGAATGTTGAATGTTGATGACCTTGACAAGGTTGCGAATGAGCTGCTAATGTTGCATGTAACAGTCAATAGCGGTTCAATAGCGACGGTGTGGCCCAGTGACATCAACTTCGTGAGTCTTCAGGAGACGATTGAGAATCAGGCACTGCTCACCTCTTGTTTTGCCTGAGTTGCTGCAAAGTAAGGTGTCGAAAGTCTCGAATCTCTTGATTTGTGTTCGATTCAGAACTGCTTCCATTCCGCCCTGGGCTGGAGCTGTCACTGAAGGACCAACGGTGATGGTGCGAGGACTTCCAACTCAGCATGTTTTCATGCTCGAGACATCTTGAGACGAGAGCTATGCTCCTAGTTCATTCTAGTTCCGCTTGTGCCAGTTCTGCCAAAGGCAGCAATCCTGGCATGCAATATTTCTCAGAGATGCGCCATGCCTGCGAACTATTGTAGGTCGTGTTGGGGCGTTGGCACGGGCTTTGGGTTTCGGACAAAGCCCTTGGAAACAAAGCTCCCTGCGTACTAATTTGGTGCTGTTTCCACTTGGATACAAAAGGTGTCCGGACGAATAAAGGGACTTTGAGTGGTAAAAGGCACAGTATGTACGAAATTCTGCGTTGTTTGTTGCCTTTTGAAGGAGCCTATCATTTCAAGATTTTGCATGCGTTAGTTGACAGTTGGATATTCATTGACTCATAAGTGCTTGTCAAAATTACGTTCACAACAAGTTGATATTTTTCATAGATTGTGTGTGCAAGGACCTTTAATTCGTCACGTGGTAGGAGTTCGCCTCTCGCTGTCAGTTCGAGCACAGATCGCAGAAAGGGTGAACCATCTCCGGAAAGCCATAGACAGTAAAAATCCGTCGACATGAAATGTGTACAGCAAACTGAGCTCGAGTGAGAAGGCTGCAGGGCGGTGGATCATCGCTGCACGAAAAAATTGCAGCAAGGTGTACTTGGCTTGCGAATTTTAATTTAATCGTCAGACAAGATGCTTTAAGGATCTTTAAGGTCTATAATCCCCAGGCAATTCTCTTGTGCAGGGATGTTGTATAACTTCTGTATTGCACGAAATTGCAGGACACCATGACATGACCACCCGATACTAGTACACACCAAGAGTGGTTCCTTTGACTCAAATTTCCATGCAGATATTGCAGATGCTTTTACAGAATTGCTAGAGATGTATAAAGATGCAATGTAATCTTGTGATATCTTGTGTATAGTAGAGGCAAGACAGGCAAGAGTTCGGCTCCACCCAGTGTTCTCTAGCGAAAAGGGTTATTGTCTGGACTTTGGATGACTTTGGTTGATTGTGGTGTCTTTGAAGATATGTTTGTTTTGTTTGGACTTGGCCAGCGTATAGAGCTTTGCACAGAGCAGTCAACCGTGAAGCAAACACACTGCTGTGAACAAAGTCGCAAGACGTCCCAAATCAATCTCACCAACTGAACAAGAATCAAATCTAAAGGAATCAAAAGGAATCGTGGGGAATCGCAAGGGGGCTTCATTTCATTTCATTTCATTTCTAGTGACCAAAGAGCACAGGACCAGGAACGTGACTGAACAGTGGAGGTTTGTCTTACATGCAAAGGTCACCCAAAGCACGGTGTGTTCACAGTACAGACGGTACACAATGTACATCAATGATCATCAATGTACATCAATGTACTGTAGAAAAGGAATCAAAAGGATACAGGTTGCGTGTCGAGAAATTGGTTGCGTGTTGACTGAGTCCACTCCACTGTTCCCATCCCCATGCGTTGACAGCGAGTCAAGCTTCCACAGCCCATGGTTCTAACATCGGCACGGGGTTCCAGTTTCACAACGCCAAGATGCTTCTTTCTTTTCCGCCGTGCAGTGTTCTTCAGATACTGTGGACGTTGAGCAGGAGATAGCTTGATAGGCAACGTTAGGTGATCGCTTTTAACTTGTTATAGTCTTAAAGTGGAATATGATGGAATATGATGGAATATGATGGAATATGATGGAATATGATGGAATATGTATGTATATGTATGTACATGTACGTGTATTTGTGTATACTTACATGCATATGGAAGATGTATATACATATATATGGTCCCGTCCTCCGTCTCTCCACCCCCCCCCCCCCCCCCCCCATGGGTTGGGTCCCCAGGTAGCAGCCCCCCTTCCCTTCTATTTGCAAGCTATTGGCAGCATTTCTGAGGTCCAGCTTCGTATTTGCTAGGTCTTTGCAGTATTTCTGACTACCAGCCTCGCATTTACTAGCTACATGCTACCTTTTAGGCGACCTACGTAGCACATATACTCCTTGAAAGTACCTACGTGCTACCTATAGTCATATATACATGTGCTATGTATCTACTGTATCTACTTCCTATTTACTACCTGTGTACTCTCACAACACCACCTGTGTTTAACATATACCGTACCGAACAATCAATCAATGATGCCATGCATACCATACCTATCATACCTATCATACCTATCATATCTATCATACACACCATACATACCATACATATGAAATGTAATTACCACACCTACGATACATACAATAGCAAACATACATGCCATACATACCATACATACCTTACATAGGAAATATGCCATACCATCATAGTAATCATACATACCATACAGACCATACATACTGTCATATCAAACATACCATACCCAACAGACTTACATACCATACCTACCATCCATACAATACCAACCACTCATGCCATACATACCATACCTACCAAACATACCATACTTTCCAAACATGCCATACCAGACCGACCATACACACCATACATACCCAACATACCATACCACACCCCCACCACACCACAGGGGGGGGAGGGGGACAGCGCCACACCGCCACCACACCACAGGGGGGGAGGGGGAAGATCTCATATGGGGCCAGTATATGGGACCCATCCCATGGGGGGTGGGGGGAGGGGGGGGGTGGCAGGGCCTGGTGCATATATACACGTATATATTTATGTAAGACATATTTTCAAAGATATACATACAATGACACACACACACAGAGACACACGTATTTATACTTGAAAACACGATTGTAATGATTTGTGCGCATATTTGGATTCAAGACTATTTGCTCCCTTAAAATACTGATTTTAGGACATGATGATGTGGTTCTCCTTGTGCACCAAGGCAGGTTTGCATGAGCATGTGGCTCTTGCGGCTGAAAGTACAGGCCGCTGACGCCTAGCAAATCTTAGCAACAAATGGCAGGTATGACAAGTCTTGCAATCACATAGATGCACATAGATGCACTGAACTTCAAAACCAGTCCAATACCCTTGGAACACTCTGCAAGGCATTGCAAAGCAGCTGAAATCGGAGCTTCGCTTTCGACTTATCAGGCCTGCATTGCCTTGACTTGTCAGACTTTCCTCACAGACCGGAAGGGACATTGTGGTGAACATAGTGAAATCATTGTCAGTCTTACAAGTCCCACCTGAGGTCTCTTCACAAAGCATCACATCTGAAGGCGCCCCATGTGAGTTCAGTGAGTTCAGTGAGTTCAGTGAGTTCAGTGCGTTCAGCTACAGTTCAGAAATGTTTAGAAGTTTAGAAGTTTAGAATGAGAAGCGAATTCCACTGGCACTTCCCACTTCCAGGCCGTGGACAGGGATTCCCACTTACCGCTTGAAGAGAAAGCCCTTTTCAGTGCTATCCTTTGCAGTTTTCGCAAAGGATAGGGTGGACTCATGCAATTATGTTTTTTTGCGTTTAAGTTTAAATCACTGAGGTGTGATTCTGGAGCCTCTCAAGCATGTTTGCTGCATTTGAGCAGTTGCGAGTCTTTGCAATCTTTGGCCGTATGCAACCCAATGCAACCCATGGCAAACCCGGCACATCAGAAAAGAGCAAAGTGCTGGCCAGGTTTCTGCGACATCGCAGAAAGGATTGCACCATATCTGTTCTTCTTCCTGAGATGGGACCTCAAATACATTTGAGAACTTTGATTTTGCAGGGGATTGTCCTCATACAAATCCGTGGACACTGAAATCCACAAACTGAGATCTGGCATGGCAGCAGCGGATGTTTTGACCCCGGAAGAGGTTGGCAGTCACTGAGTCACAGAGATGCTATGGATTGCAAAAGCAGTAGTGGCAACCAGCCACCGCCTGTGACAGGTCTGCCAGGCACTATCGTTGCCGAAGGCCTTCGAAAAATGCAGGTTGTCAATGATTGTCACGTACTGGAAGCCACTGGAAGACATTACAATGTGATGGCATGGTCGCCCCAGACTTGTCCCGAACGGTAGCGGCCCGGTAGCGGTAGCTAGCTGGAGTTACTCTTGCTTCAGCAAGGGGAGGGGCAGCTCCTCCGGAAACCTTTGGGAAACTTTCCAAAAATAAATAGAAAATCGAAATGCTCCCTCACGATCCTGATCCATCCTGTGCGGTGAAATCTCAAAGTGCTCTTTGCATTGCGCTTGAGATGCCTGAGCATGCGCATCATGCGCACATCGATTTAAACCGTGCGTTTGGGGGAAGATGTGTGTGTGCCAGAGAAGTGTCTCCTTCTTTACCGCTGTCCTGAAGAATAAGGCTGATGCCTCGTTTGTGGCGGTAAGATGTGCCAATCGCTTGTGGCAGTAAAAACGTTCATTTTTTACTGCCGCAAGTGATTTTTTTTTACTGCCGCAGGTGATTGCTGTTTTGGCGTGGCAGGTGCAGCATTTGAAGGCCTAATCGCTTGTGGCGGTAAGATCGCTTTTCCGTTTTCAATCGCTTGTGGCGGTAAAAAATCTATCGCTTGTGGCGGTAAGTGAGTGTCTTTGATGCCAGGGTATACAAAACCAATCGCTTGTGGCAGTAAGCGGCTGGGACTTGGGATTTGAACTTGGCAGTTGCTTTTGGAAAAGGCCTACCTTTCTTCTCTTGGCTCTAGGATCAGCTCTGGAAAATGTTGCTGCAATTGTGAACCATGAGAACAAACCTACTAAAGTGAATTGGATCATCTCATGGCCCAGTGCCTTTGAAATTTCTGGAAAAACTGTTCTGTAATAAGGGTTCAATAAGCGATTTGATTTTTTGGGGAACGGCAGACAAGCACGATTTTTGATGGTTAATATTAAACTGTTTACCCTAAGGAAGGTACCATGTGAGTGTTCCTAAAAAGAACCACAGATTCTGTTACGATTAATATCTAATCATTGTGAAAA